ATAAAATATTAAAGCCCAGATATTCTCCAGAAAGTTAAACGTATTATTTATTTCAGCTCTTTGATAAGACAGTAATGCCTCTTACTGACATCCATATAAGATGAGAATGCGTCTACCCTACTCCTTGTGGGGTGACTAGCTTTTGAAACCAATATTATAGCAAGTATGAGTGATCATTGGTAACTTTAAACGCTGTACTCCTGTGTCTTTTAGAGCAATCGGAATTTTAGTTAGCTTTAGAACTGTTCATAATTAGGGTCTTTTATTTTCTTTATATTTTATAATAAGAAACCAGCATTTTTTAAAAAAGTTTGTTTTAATTGAATTCTGCATCAAAGTTTTATGGGTTTGTGAAAGATAATGCTATAGTTACGGAGATTTCATTTGGATTGTGTCTGTATTTGTCTTAGTGAGATCTAAATTAATCCACCTATTTGTGTTTTTAGCATAGTCACATTTAACGTAGACTGGGTAGGGTAAGTTTCCAATAGATTTATATTTCTCTGCTCTTCTCAACTAGTACATATTTCATTTCACATCTAACTTTCTCTCTCTTATGAAGTTATTTAGGTCCAGTTTCCAGAATATAACCTACCCTTAAATTTGAATCATGCGCTCATCTTTGTGAGAACACAAGGCTGAGTTATGTCTAGGGGTCTTTCCCATTTTGTATGTATGAATAAATACAGACATTCTCTAGTTCTCTAGGAGAACCTTTCAGAGCTTTCAGTGATACAAATAGTCTGCTGTGGCGCCTGTGCCATGTTTGCTACCACTGCTCTGGAGGGAAGACCATTGGCACATTTTATTTATTTTTTTATTTTTATTTTTATTTTTATTTTGGGGTTCAAACTTGGGACCTTGCACTTACGAGACAGGCAGCAGAACCACTGAGCTAAATTCCTGGTCCCCATTTGCACATTTTAATCAGTCATTTTCAGTCCATAGACACACCCCCAGCTCTTGCTTTACCATTTTCCCATGTCTTCAGCTTTTAAAAAATCAAGATGTGAGTCTCAGTAAAGTGTTAATGAATATTGAGTTAAAGTCTGCAATGTGTGGACTATTTAAGTTGAAGATAAGTGAACAGTGAGAAATGAGCCCTGTCAACTTTGTTGGGGAGCCCTAAGTTGAATGCATATCATTTGTGATAAAGATTTATGTAGCCTATCAAAATATGAGATGGGAAAAAATTCTATACTCAGACCATGTCCCATGTCCAGTAAAACAGGACAAAGCCTTAGAGCCAAAATAACTATTTTCACCTTGTTTTTATAGCCAACATTCTTTCAAAACCATTGAGATTGCTTTTAAAAACATTACAAGAAATAAATCTTACAAATTACAGCAAAATTTCAAAATCTGCAGCCATTATAACTAAGTAAAACTGAATTCTAGACAAACCTCTCTCAACTCCACAATTCACAGATTCTCTCCCATTTACAGTCGTGAGTGAGGTAGAGGTGTGTGTGTGTGTATGTGCCGTATGTATTTCATTCAGAAGGTATAACTGAATCTGTATACCTGTCCTCCCATGAATTTTTGTTGTTCAGTGAAGAATCTTTTGGTTATATTGTATTATTATATTATTAGAAGCTGCGTTATCTCTTTATCTATCTGTCTATCTAGCTATCTATATTAGAAACTGTGGTAGTTTCCTAGGGCTGATGTAACAAATTACAACATAGTAAATGGCTTAAAATAGCAGAAATTTCCTCTCACAGTTCTGGAGGCCAAAAGTCAGAGAAGAGGTATGTGCATGGCCAAACTCTTTTTGAAGGCTGGAGGGGAGGGTCCATTCCTTCTTCTAACTTGAGCCCAGTATTCTTGGGTGTGTGGCCTATCATTCCAATCTTCATCAGTGGTCACACTGCCTCCTTATTTTCTCCATGTGTCAAATCTACTCTCATAAGGACATTTGTCATTGGATTCAGGGCTCATCCAGATAATGCAGGAGAATCTCCTCTTCTCAGAATCCTTAAGTTACTGAAAGAGGCAAAACACAGTCTGTTCTATAATGTAACGTAATATTCAGAAGTTCCAGGGATTAGGATGGAGCTGAAAAATTTCTCTCACCTGATAACATAGCTCATAGCCATAGTGCACATGTGTGTGTATATGTGTGTATGTGGTGATGCTGGTATAAACAAACATGGTACAGGTAGCACATACAATATGTAGAGTATATCGCTTTATGTATTTACAGTACTTTTATCGTTATTGAAGAGTCACCTCCTTCTACTTAATTAAAAAAAAACGTTTGCTATGAAGCGCTATGCTATTTGGGCCCATAGAAGCCTTCTGTTATCTCATTATCTTGTGCTATGGTATCTCTTGATGGTTTTATTTCCTCTTGGGCTTGATTTACTCTCCTCTTGTTTTGTTCATCTTCACTATAGGCTGTACATGTGCATAGATAGCCGAGGTGTATGGTAGGCTGTGCATCTTGGTTTAGGTCTGCACACTTTGTGATGTTTGTACAATGACAAAGTCAACTGAGAATGCATTTCTCAGAACATTTTCTGTAGTTAAACAAAACATAGCTTTGTTTTGGTTGAATTTCAAAATAGATATAATCCTTACCAAAAAGGATGAGAAAGTGAAAATACACAGTAAGTTAGGTAGGAAGCTGGAAGCAGATTGTATTTACCCAGTTGTAACTGCAGTGCTTACTGAAGGCTTATCATGACATTGCATATAATCCAAGGAAAAAAGACTGACAGTATTTGTTGGAAGTGATGAAAATTGAGCTTTTAAGTGAAGTTGAGGACTTTGGAAAATATCTACCATTAGAGCTCAATAGCTTCTCGGTGCTTAACCAAGGGGTCAACATTTGGTGTTCAGAATAAGTTGATAAACATGTTTCAAAGTCATGCACTGTGTAAAAGACTAATTCAGAGTGGGAGATAGGTCAGCAGATATTTTCATACAATAGAGCGAAGAGAGTTCATCAATAAGGTTTTGAATTCCATACTAGAACTGACCTTTTAGAAACTACCCCTTGTTGATTTCTGTTACAGTATCGAAGAATTATATCCAGAACTATTTGAATAGCCATTCTTCTCTTTTCCAGCTACGTGTCTGTTTTAGTTATATTTTTTTCCCTATATTTCAACCAAAATGACACACAGCAACAGACTGAATGTGGTTAGCAGAGAAGAGAATCCAGCTATTTCTGTTAAGACAGACATTAAGGAGATTTTTTTCAAATACAGAGCAGTGCTGCTCTTCTTACTTTGTTTTTTGTTTTAGAAAAGTTATTTTATATGAATGTCATGTTACATGTAATGAATTTTTTACTTTTAAAGAAATAATAAATGTATTAAGTTTTATCATTCTTAGTTTCTAATACAATAAATATTGGACATACGCTACATAAAAACTTGAGTTCTGAGTAACATATAAGGTGTAAAGGAGTTCTAATGTAAGTCTGAGAATTGCTGATTTAAAAGGTGATTCCACATCTGAAATGCATTCAGGGTGAGGTCACGTTTGATGGTAACAGACTTGTGCTTTACATTAAACAGTAAGGCATTACAGAGTACTTTGAGCAGAAGCATTATGAAATCAAAGTGGTGTATACATGGGTAAGATTCGTGTGAAGGTGAAAGGTGTCTTAGAGTGAGAAGGGTGGGGAATAGAGCGGGGTAAGGCAGTCACAGAGAATTAGTGGGAGGTCAGATGTAAGCTATTAAAAATGGTCCAGTTTGGTTTAGACTGACAGACTTATGAAGTCCATATTGACCTAGCTACAGATGGCATAGGAATGGGAGAAGTCAAAGACTAGATTTAAACTTGAGTCAAGAGTAGTTCTGTAATTCAGCATCTGACATTTAATGGCAAGATAGATCTAGTAGAGAACTAGAAAATGAAACCAGATAGCCATTCAGCTCTTGTGGTACCATGGAGCACTTTTGATTAGAACTAGAAGAGTCTATTCTGATGCTAAGTGAAAGCTTATCTACAAATTTAATAAAATATATATTTATTGGCCATGATGAGGTGTGATCAACAAATATGGTGAATGTTTAAATAAAATAAAATTTGCCACAGGAAAAAAGACACATTGCCACTAACTATCTTCAAAATACTCCCCCTCCCTTTGAACATACCTCTCCTGTCATTCCTGCCACTTTGGGAAGTAGTTATAGAAGTTCTCTTTCTTGAGTGTCTTTTCATGGCTGTGTCACTGTCATGCATCAATTCAAATTATACACGGTGATATCTGCCAAATAAAGATCTTACCATGTGCCCTTGTTTACCTTATTCACTCACTGTGCCACTGTGTGACTTCTGCCTCTTCTCTGAAGCAAAAATGACCCTGAAAGGTAAACCTTTTAAATCATTTTAGAACTTTGAGGCAGCCACAACAATGCAGTGGTATAGTCTTCTTATTTTTTGTGTGTGTTACTTTGTGTATGATTTTAAACCTTATTAACTCATGTTCTTTCTTGACATTTCATGTTTTTCTTGACTTATTTGCAGCATTGTTTGAAAGATAATTTTCCCTTGAAAAACAAATTATAGTCAATTTAATAATGAAAACTTTTAAAAAGTTACACAATCAGTGATACACAGAAGAGAAACATCTATTTCATATTCTTTAAGAAGTATTTTTCATCAGAATTTATAAGTGATGTGTGGATGATTTATGAAGTCTTTTTAAAATGGCCAGAAATAAGCTCTGGCAACCATTTGATAAAATGAAAAACTAAACAAAATGTGTATTCAGATGAATGAGTCTCTGAAGGAATAATAATGCAAATGAATTACCAAAGTGTGAAATCATTAAAAAAATATATTTGGGTTTTTATTGAATCTTAATTGTAGGCTTATATATTTTGTTTTGTAAGCTCAGTTAAAAGAAAATTGCCTAATTAAATTTGTGGAAGCCAGTGTTGGCAGGTTATATATATTGTACCATAATTGTTTTGCATGAAAACTGCTGTTCATTTCTTTTTTTTTTTTTTAGCATTAACATTCTTGCTTTCTTCATGTAGGAGAATATATAAAAAACTGGAGGCCAAGATACTTCCTTTTGAAGACAGATGGCTCATTCATAGGATATAAAGAGAAACCTCAAGATGTGGATTTACCTTATCCCCTCAACAACTTTTCAGTGGCAAGTAAGTTAATTATAATTGTTGATTCACCTTCAATTTATTTATTTATTTGTATGATTTTTATCTATCAAATAGCTTAGGGTATATGAGAAGCCCATGGGATGCATATATATATATATGATTATAATATACATACTATAATCACAGGAAATTTTTCAGCTTTGATAGAAATCTCAATAGTGTAGTATAGAATTCTTGAAATACATAGTCTTAGTGTGATATAGTTTAATGTTTTTCACATTTAGAAGTCAAATATAATAAATACAATTTCCAAAGTATGTACTTCAATTTATTTTCCCAAATTGTAAATGAAGACTTTTGATCTTAGTCACAAGATGTTACAGTACTCAGTACATTTATAATCAAAGTTTGTTTTTTTTTTTCATGATTTTAGGCCATTTGCTTGAATGTATGATTTAAAACAGTGGTATACACTAGAAATTTTCTGGGGAGATTTCATGTTTCTTCCTAACAAGTATCACCAAGAGTGTTTATCATTTATTTAGAAATATTGTATTTGTTTGAACATAGCACAAAATAAACTGAAAGATGACAATGATAATGACAGTAGTTGTTGTTATGTTACCACCAGATTCTTCAGACTGTTCAGGCGTACTAATTCATCACTGAAGGGAATTTTCAGCATTTTAAAGTCATAGTATTGCATGAGAGCTAGAGTCTGTATCATTGAGATGAATTTTTTTAACTGGATAACTTGTTTTATCTTGGCTGTATGTTGTTAGCCACATTTGGAAAAGATATGAGGGAAATTTGAAGCTAAAATACAATTGCATAACAGAAAAATCCAAGAAAACAATAGTCTTTGAATGTTACACTTTTGATTCCATTTACCGCAATGAAAACCTCAATCTTTTTATACCTTTTCTGCCCCCTATTTAAGAAAAAGATAAACTAAAGTTCTTGGGGGAGCCATTTAAGTAATAAAGATAAGTATGTAGGGCTTTCAGTTTTCAAAAAGGAGACTGTTACCATATTAAGCATCAATTATAGAAAATATCTTTTCCCCCACCAAAATGTTAGATATAGATGGCTTTGTTTTAGTAGGAAATTATTTTTAAAAAACATAATTTTTATTGGTACATTTTAGGTATACAAGACAGTTACATCATCATTGGGATCTTGTTCCTTTACATGGCTTGTCTTGGTTCTTATTTTTTTCCCGTTCCCCTAGGCTCCCTTCCGCCCTCCACTCATCCGTATTTACAAAGACTTTGCTTCCATTTTTTTCTTTTCTTGTATTTTTTCTCTTCCCTTTTACCTTTCCCTTTTTACCTTGATACTTATTTACACTTTTAGTTTATCACACCAAAGAAACTATTTCATACTTACACATGTGTGTCCTATGAATTTCACTTGAGTATGTCCTCGATGTGCTTCCACTTAGCTATAAGTGTCTGTAGTTTCTCGTTCTTTATGGCTGAATAGTACTCCACTTTATTTAAAAAAAAAAAAAAAAAAGCACATCTTCTTTATCCAGTCTCCAGTTGATGGGCAATTGGGCTGTTTCCAAGTTTTAGCTATTACAGACTGTGCTGCTATTAATATGGGTGAGCATACATCGCTGTGATATGATTCTTTTAATTTTGGGGGGAAGAAACCCACTGGAGAAATAGCTGGGTCAAATGGGACTTCCAATGCTGGTTGTTAAGGGTATCACCATATTGATTTCCACAGTGGATGCACCAGTCTGCACTCCCACCAACAATGAAAAAGGGTTCCTCCCTCCATCCACACCCCCGCCAGCATTTGTTATTGGTTGATTTCTTGATAGCAGTCATTCTTTCTGGGGTGAGGTGGAATCTTACTTGTTGTTTTCATCTGTATCTCTTGAATGACCAGTAATATTGAACATTTTTTCATATATTTATTTGCTGCTTTTTCTTCTTTGAGAAATGTCTGTTCATTTCAGATGCACATTTTTGAACTGGATGTTTATATTTGGGGGCTCGATTTTTTTGAGATCTTTATATAGTCTAGATAGTAGACCTTTGTCTGAGTAACAGCTGGTAAAAATTTTTACATTGTGGTTATCTTTTAGCTCTGTTGGTGGTTTCTCTTGCCTTGCAGAAGCTTTTTAAAAAGATGAGAATCCCAGTTGTTGATTCTTTGTGCTAGTTCCCGTGCTACTGAGGATTTTTTCATAAAGTCTTTTCCTATTCCATTGTCTTTAAAGAGTTGTACCTAACTTATCTTCCAAGAAGTTTAGTGTTTCTGTTTTAATATTTAGATCTTTAATCCCCTTGGATTTTAGTTTAGTGCATGGTGAAAGATATGGGTCTAGTTTTAATCTTTGGCAAGTTGAAATCCAGTTTTTCCAACACCATTTATTAAAGAGGCTATCTTTCCTCCAGTGAGGATGGTTGACTTCTTTGTCAAAAATGATGTAGGTGAGTATGTTTGGAGTTGTTTCTGCATCTTCTAATCTATTCCACTGATCCTTGGGTCTGTTTCTTTGTCAGTACCATGCTGTTTTTAACACACAATGACTTTGTAGTATAGGTTTAAGTTGGAGATTGTGATACTCCCTACCATGTCTCTGTTGCCTAGAATTGCTTTTGCTATTCTAGGTGTCTTCTGGTTCCAAATAAATTTTGTATTGTTCTCTCTAGTTCTTTGAAACATACTGTTGGGATTTCAATTGGGATTACATTGAATCTGTATAGCAGTTTTGGAACTATGGCCATTTTCACTATATTGGTTCTTCCTACCCAGGAATAAGGGGTATCTTTCCATTTTCTTATATCTTCTTCATCTATTTTAAGAGTGCTGTAGTTTTCAGTGTACAGGTCTTTTGCCTCCTTCATTAGATTGATTCCTAGATATTTCATTTTTTGGATACTATTGTAAAGGGAATTATTTCCCTAATTTGATTCTCAGTGAGATTGTTATTTGTATATAAGAAGGCTATTGATTTTGAGTATTTACCTTGTATCCAGCTGCTCTACTGAATCTGTCAATCAAGTCTCGAAGTCTTTTTTGGAGGACTCCTTTGGATCTTCTATATAGAGTATCATCAGCAAATAATGACGGTTTCACTTCTTCCTTTCCTATCTTCATTGCTTTTATTTCTTTCTCTTGTCTAATTGCTGTGGCTAATGTTTCCAAAACTGTATTGAACAGGAGTGGTGATAGTGGACATCCTTGTCTTATTCCTAATTTTAGCATGAAGGTTTCCATGCTTTTTACCATTTTGTATGATGTTGGCTGTTGGCTTTTCATAGGTAGCCTTTCTCAAGTTGAGATAAAGACTATCTATCATTTAGTATGATGTTGGCTGTTGGCTTTTCATAGGTAGCCTTTCTCAAGTTGAGATAAAGACTATCTATTCCAATTTTCTGTAAGGTTTTTATCATGAATGGGCGCTGAATTTTGTTGAATGCTTTTTCTTCATCTCTTGAGAGGATCTTATGGTTTTTGTCCTTGATTCTATTAATATAGTGTATTACATTTATTGATAAACGTATGTTGAACCATCCTTGCATCCCTGGGACAAATCCAACTTGCTCAGGGTGTATAATCTTCTTGATGATCCTCTGTATTCTGTATGGCAGTATCTTATAGAGGATTTTTACATCTATGTTCATGAGGGAGATTGGCCTGTAGTTCTCCTTTTCGATTGGGTCTTTCCCTGGTTTTATAATCAAGGTAATACCTGCTTCCAAGAATGAATTTGGAAGTATTGCTTCTTTTTCAATTTTATTGAAAAGTTTAAGCAATAGTTCTTTTCTGAATGTCTTGTAGAATTCAGCAGTGAAGCCATCACCGACCTGGGCTTTTCTTTGTTGGTAAATTTTAATTAATTAAGTTTTCTATTTCACTGGTTGTAACTGAGGTGTTTAGAATTTTTATATCTTCTTTGTTCAACTTTGGTAATTAGTATGTATTGATACATCTATTCCTTCTATTTTCTGCATTTTAATAGAGTACAAGTTCTCAAAATAAGTATTGATGATGCTCTGGATTTCTGCTGAATCTGTTGTGACTTCACCATTTTCATTCCTAATTGCATGAGTTTGAGCCTTTTCTTTCCTTTTTTAATAAGGTTGGCTAAAGGCTTATCAATTTTATTTATTCTTATAGAAAACCAATTCTTTGTTTCATTGATTTTATCATTCTCTTAGTCTCTATAGCATTGATTTCTGCTCTGATGTTTATAATTTCCTCCCTTGTACAAGCTTTGGGTTTCTCTCGCTCTTTTTCTAGAAGCTTAAGATTCACCATTAGGCTGTTAATTTGAGCTTGGTGTTCTCCCACTGTGGACATTCACTGCTGTGAATTTCCCATGTATAACTGCTTTCATTGTATCCCATGGATTCCTGTGTGTTGTACTGGCATTGTCCTTAAATTGAAAAACATCTAATTTCTTCTTTAATTTCCTCTGTGACCCATTGATTGTTCAGGAAAGTGTTATTCAATTTCCATGTGTTTGGGAAGTTCTTATGGTTTCTTATGCTGTTGATCTCCAGATAAATTGCACTATTATTTGAAAATACACAGGATAACTTTAGTTCCTTTGCATTTACTTAAACACGTTCTATAAGCCTAATAACTGGTGTATTTTGGAGAATGACCCGTGTACAGCCAGAAAGAATGTATATTCTCCCATCCAAGTACTAACCAGGCCCAACCCTGCTTAGCTTCTGACTTCAGATGAGATAGGGTGCATTCAGGGTGGTATGGCCATAGATAAGAATGTATATTCTGATTTTGTGGAGTGGAACACTCTGTAGACATCTATTAAGTCCATGTGTTCAAAAGCTTGGTTCAATTCTAGTATTTTATTGTTGATTTTTAGTCTAGATGATGTATCTTTTTGTAATAATGGGATATTGAGGTCTCCCACTACAATTGTATTAATATTAATTTGGTGTTTCATGTCCCATAATATTTGTTTTGTGTAGTTGGGGGCATTTGTATTTGGTGCATATGTATTTATGGTTATCATCTCTTCCTCTTGGGTTGTTCTCTTTACAAGGATGAAG